TGCTGTGTGAACACCGAGAATATACAGCCACTTTCAGGGCAGAATAATCCAAAGCAGAGCTACTGCTGCACTGATGAGAAAGGGTTGGTGGCAGTGTCGCCTGAGAACTCTTTGCTGACTCCTCTCCACTGCTGCAAGCTGACTGCGTCAGGCTCTGCAGACCCCAGAGGCTCTTAACCTGCTTACTCTGCGTCAGGGTGAGGCACACACACTCTAAGCAAACTTCCCTTAAGAAAATCCATCTTCATTTCACATCGAAGAGGCCATTAATGGAAAACGTCATTAACAAAATCTGGGAGTATTTTTACTGAAAAATTCAAACATGCCCATCATAAATCTTTCCGGTGAAATCAGCCCACAAGTTACTCAAAAGCTGTCAAGCAACTGCAGTTCAGATCTATGGCCCTGTTCAAGGGTCCCAGGATTCCAGAACACTCTCGGTCCTGACGGCTGTACTCTTAAACACTGATCTATCATTATGCTTCAGATTCCCCGTCCTCCTTATCTAAGTTAAATAATGAGATAAGCTCAACACTCCTGGGCTTTGCTAAATTAGTTTAAATCTTTCCAGTTCTGACAACTCCCATTTCTCTCTGCCACTTTGGGCCTTGAGTGAAAAGGTGAAGAAATATTTTGGAGGAAACCTTGGGGTCCAGCTTCATAAATCCTCCCCTGCTGCTTTCTAAACACGCTGTACACCTCAGGGTCGGCTGCAGAGCGGGGAGAAATAAGCGAGCAGACCGCCCTCAGCAGGTGCTGGCTCCCTTTCGGGGCGCCGCTGCCTTCTGCAGGACAGTGCTGCTCCAGGGTCCCTGAGGCCGCTCTCTACCCAAGTTATCTTCTCCACGACCCGCACGAGCACCACTGTGCTGGGGCAGAGCTGGGCCCTTGCACAGCTGGGGGCCCTGCCTGGCTCAGTGGCCTAGAAGCGCAGCAGAGATTTTTTCACGCGGTGTCAGTGGCACCCAGGTGTGGCTGTATCAGTGCCATGGCCTGAAGCTTTATTTGGGAACAGACAAATGTGACCCAGTACACGTAGACTGGAAGACGCAACCTGAGCCAGCAGAACGTTGCCTTGGAAAAGGCTTCCTGTTTCAGTTCCAAACCACACATACTTGCACAGTTAACAAATGCAGCAGGGGATACTGGTCCACAGCGTTCATGTGGAGGCCACAGGCCCTGCTGTCCTCCGCCCTCTCCGTCACTCACGCCACCTGCCTTCCCGAGAACTAGCAGGTCACATGGAAACACTGGTAGGTTGAGGCTATTCTTTCGGAAAGCACGGACACTCCAGCAAGGACAGGAACTTGGAAGTATTCTCATCTGACAGAACAGAAGGAGGGGGTTCCCTATAAATAAAAACCCATGCTCAAATAAACACACAAAGGAGCCAATGTTTCCTGTAAGGCTACTATTCAGATGGATTACTGGAAGGAATATTCTTTCAGTTTTATGGCTCACTTTGCTATCATCTGCTTAAAATTTTGGGACATTTAAAACTTAGATGCTAAGATCTAAGCCCTCACTTGGATGAAATATGACAGAGGAAGCAGAAGGTTTCTTCCAAGTGCAGACTCAGAGGCAGAACTCTTGGACTCTTGGGTTCCTATTCTTGGCTTGGTCCCTGGACTCAGGTCAGTTCTCGGTCAGAATCTCACTTCTAATCCCTTCAAACAGTTTGTTAGTCCCTGTTGTCTAAACAGCGGGGAAAAGCCCTGAGTAACACCCTTGGATCCTGCTCAGTCAACTGGGATGCCTGGATCTCACTTCCAAGAAACCAGGGTGATTTATCCCTTGGGTCGAACTAGGCTGTTCCTCAGAGAGCGCAGTGTCGATGGAGCAAATCCTGGAGGCATGAAACATTCCTCCACCTGCAGGGAGCTCCGAGCTTCTTTCATCTGATCCCCAAATCATACTGTCCGGCTTCGTAACAGTTCTTCCTAGCTTCCATGTTAAAGCAACTCTGATTTGACTTATTTTGAGGTAGAGTAAGTATTATCTCCAAGCTATAGAAGAAAAGTCTTAGATAGGATAAGCGATCTGACCCGGGCAAGCCAGCAAGTACAGGGGTGGACGCTGACCTATTGTTTTCTGGGTCAAGTGCTCATCTCTGTCGAACACATGGCTCCCCATTAATAATGTGGAACTGGACAAATGCACCCAAGAACCCTGTTGGAAGCACTACTGCTGAGCCCTTTGACAGAACCTACAAAGCTCTTTCAGTGTAGCGAAAGGCCCTGGGGGCCACTGAGGCCCCAGTCAGTGGGGGTCCAGCGTGTGCCCTCCCCTCTGGACGTCCTGCCACAGCTCCCCCACGGACTGGCACCTGCAGGAATGCAGCACTTGGAGAAGTCCAAGCCCCAGCCCACTTTTGAGCTTTTGGGTCCTCAGGCCCCTGGCCTCTCCTTCGCTCAGTCTGCAGGAGGAGCAGAGGGCCGGTGACAGACGCCTATGGAGGAAAGCTGAAGTTCACCCCAGCCAGGCTCCTGCTCGCTGCGTGCTCCGGGCCCGGGCACAGCACAGCCAGAAGTGTAAAACCGCACCGGGTGCTGAGGAAGGCTGCAAGTGCTGACCATCGGTGGCGCCAAGGGCAGCACAGTGAAGAGGGTGCAGTCCCTGCTCCCAGATGCTGACAGGCTACAGGCCGTGGGAGCAGGCAGAAGACGGCAGCGGGCCAGCACACTGTCATCATCTGGGTTCAGTGTCGCGGGTAACCTACGCAGATCTCGAGTCGGCAGGAAGGAAGTCACCACGCATCTCCCGCCTCAACCTAACGAGGGCAGCCAGTCGGTCAGGGCTGTGGTGACACAGCTGGCGCTCAGGAGGGGTGCGGGTCTGCCTGCTGTCCCCAGCTGTGTAGCTGGGAGCGGGCCGGCGGGCCCCGCACAACTGTCCAGTCCTCATCCGTAAATGAAGGACAGAGATGAACAAGACTGCCTGAGCGGAGGCCCACAGACGGTGACTGGCAACAAGTAAGCACGAGGGAGGGTCCCTCTGGGAGGCGCTGCCCACCCCGTAGCGTGATTCCCACTTCTGTCCACCTGGCCAGCTCCTCCCATACCTCAGGCTCCACCTCAAGCATCGCGGCCCTAGAAGGGCCTGCTGCTGGGTCAGTCGCCTCGCTCGCTCCCTCCCTCCCTCCCTCCCTCCCTCCCATAGACGTCTCCTCACCCCCCACCCCCCACCCCGCCTTTGTAATATTTAGCACAATTCTGACAAATGACCCCCTATCTAGTTTTTTTCTATGTTTGTGGCCCTGGTTGGTGACAAGCTCTCTGAGGCTAAGACAGTCTTGCTTTCTGCTGTTTTCCTAGCCCAGAGTTCAGAGGAGATTTCCAATCAATATTTAGTATCTACTGCGTAGACATGAATGAATGACAGATAAGTACCAGATGACACTAATCCAAAGCTTCAATGGCAATGCAGGACAACTGGTAAAAATAACACGGACATCTCTATTTCTGCAGCCACTGTGGCTGTGTTACTTGTGCTCCTAAAATTTTAGAATATAAAACCTCAGCAAGACTTTCAAACTGACAATGGACAAATGCAAGTGATTGCTTTCTGCTCATCATTAACCTTTTACAGCACAAAATTACAGGAACATTTATTTATTTATTTATTTACTTATTTCTCTATCTGAGACAGGGTCTCACTTTGTATTCAGGCTGGTCTTGAACTCACTTTGTAGCCCAGGATGGCCTCGAATTCATGGCAATCCCCCTGTCTCAGCCTCCCAAGTGGGGACCACATACATCAGCCAGTATGCCCGGCTTACAATTCTTAACACACAAAATTTAATAATTCCTTTTTGAGCATATCAAATCAACAATCATTAACCTTGACTATCTGAGGAGTTTAAGTATAAGGATAGTTTGCTGAGAATTCTTCAGGGGTTTTCAATTTTACTTTGACTTCTTGAACTTCCAGCAGAAATAAAACACTAGAGATACTTCTGAAACCTCTCTACTGCCTGCCCTTCTCCACCACTTCATAAATATCCCCAAAATATACTCGAGGATGTTTTAGCTTTATATCTCAGAATAGAATATAACTTAAGTAAACTGTACAAACCCTTTTTTAAAAAGCAGCTGCTTCCAGATGGAAGACATTCTGGCAGGACACACTACACGGCCCCGTCTGCAATCTCAAGCATTTCCCCTCTTGCAGAAACATGTCACCAGCCGGCTTTCATTTTGAATGGGGATGATTTTACTTTAAGGCCTATTTGGGGGAGAACAGGGTAACAGACGTGGCCCAGGTCTAGGTATTCTAAAAGGGCACACCAGTTCACTCAGGGTGCATCTATTATCCAGGCAACAGGGAAATTCCTCTAGGCTGAAGTCCGGCTTGGCTGGAAACACTAACATTCATTACACCCTTTGTTGATAAGGGTCTCCAGTTAGTTACTCTGGAGAAGAGAGGCTAAAATAGGCCATTAAATGAATGGCTAAGTCAATGTGGCTGGGTCCTGGGGGCTGGGAGCCAAGGGGGCCGTCTCTGATTTCCGGCACCCCACGGCAGAAGCACCACCATACTTGTGGGCAGAGGGGAAGCAGGCAGTTTTGGGGTTTTTTAAAAATGATGTTAGGAAACTGGCTGGCCATTTCAGGTGGTAAGAAAACAACCCATGTGAGGATTCTGGAATTATAGCACGGGTCTAGGAGGAAGGACCCTGATCCCTGCAGCTTGATGGTTTTCTTCATGGGCACCTAGCTTGGTGAGCAAGGGAAGCCTGTAATGATTTAACCCAAATACTCACCTTTCTAATGAAAATGCCACACTGTATTCTTTCTTTTTTATCTACCTACCAAAAATAGGTTTGTGCACCTTGCTTTCATCATCTATATGCGGCAAATCAGAAACTTCGGTTAGAAGTATTCAAGTTAAAAATCCCATCACCAAGGCGGAGAGCATAAGATTAAACACAGCACGGAGGAGTACGAGAAGCAGCAGACCTTGGCCGGAAATCCCGGATCCACTCCCCCGGGACCACTGACCTGGGGCCACTGAGCGTGGCTGTGTCTCTCACCGCCTGCGCTGTTTCCGAAGCAAAATCCAGGGCGCCGGCCACTGGCTTTGTTACGGTGCCAACGAGCCCCTTCCCGAAGCCAGATATGAAACCACTGACACCCCCTTCTGTCTTCACACCTTCCACTGTTGACGTTATGACGCTGGTCAGGCCACCAATGATGCCTAGCCACAAAACAAAAAAAAGGTGATTGTAGCCTGGCCAAAGACAAGCGCTACAACATTTCAATGAAGCCAACTCCCCGGTTTCAAACATCTGAGGTGATAACTTAAGACATTCCGATAATCTCTGTGGTAGATGAGTGGCCACTACACAGGGCCCAGTAGACTCACCCACTAACACAGAGTCGGAGGGTACATATTACACGTCAGTGAAAAGCAGAGTGTGTTCCAGTGTGAACACGAGAGAAAAGGCTAGGCAGTGACCTGTGGGCAGCTTTCTCCTAGAGCTTGGGTGGGAGGCGGGCACCTGGGAATACGTAGAGAGCAGTATTAAGTCAGCAGGAGACCAGAAAATCAGGCCTTTGGGGCAGGTGTGGAGAAGTCAGGTCCTAGGAAATGCAGGTCAGGGAGAGGGCTAAAATCATGTTTTCGGTTTTCTAAGATCGCTCTCTGCCCAGACACTACCACACAATGTGTGAAATGAGCTAAAAGCTACTGCCCGCTTTGCAGGGATCAGACAGAGCAGACAGCAATAAGTGATGAAGCCTTTACAAAGGGCACCCCAAAAAGCTGCCAGAGATAGCCCGAGCTCCCATGGGTCAGTTCAAAAGACCAGCCAGGCCAAAAAGACAACAACATTCCAAAGTTGCAGGAATGGGTGTGAAAAGGCCTCAGAGGTGGCCAGACTGGCAAAGGCTGGAAGGTCACAGGCACTGCAGGGAAGAGGCAGGTCCTGTCGGGGAGCATTTCCAGGCCCTGTGCCAGGGACACTCACAAGATGTTTACCCTCCGACAGTGGGGTGTGAGGAAGCTCTCTGGGCCCTTCAGCTCTAGTGAGACAAATTGGTAGAGGAAACTCCTTGGGTGCGAAAGTACTAACAGTTCACAGCATCTCTTCCAGATTCGGGTTCGCTGGCTTCAGGGAGGCGATAACGCTTTCCCAAGGCTTGGGAGCAGGTTCTTAGTGGAGTGTGCACAGCACAGAGTCAGACTGGGGCTGACAGACAGACACCCCAAGCAAGCACAACTTCCCGTTGTACAACAAGGAGATTAAACGGACTCTGTTGTTTGCCTGTTTATTTTGAAGTACTGGGAGTGGAACCAGGGCTTTCACGCTACAATGATCTATACACATCCCCAGTCCCTTTATTTTAAGAAAGAGTTTCACTAAGTGGTTAAACTGCTCAGACTGTACTTAAGTGTATGATCCTGCCTCAGCCTCCCACCTAGAGCACTGGACTGTGGGCATGCACTGCCGCACCTGACTTCATCGTCTTTTAAGGCCTCTTCATCCAGGAGGAACACTGTCATCGCAGGTTACTGCTTTCCTCTTAGCCTGAGCTCAAAGGGCCTCTTTGTATCCACTGGATCTGGGACCTAGACCGGCCCAAGCCGCTCCGGCTGCAGCTGAGCATATTCTTGGAATGATCCTCGGCTAGAAGTGACTTTGCAACCGTGAACAGATCACCCACTTTCTCAGCAGCTGGGTAAGTTCATCTAAAATGCGAGGACAGCCATGTTCTCCCCCTGCAGCCCAAAGACGCAGGCTGCACACTGGCGAGTAGAAGGCAACGCACTCCCGCGTGCCAGTGCGGACCTCCGACAGTCACAGTACTACCATCACAGTTAATAAAGAAGGCTGCACCTTCAATCCCAAAGGATTATCCCACTGCCGACTTTTAAAGTTTAGACGCAGATTAACTCAGCTAAATTTTACTTCTAGCCTGTGAGTGTCACTTGAGTTGGGTGGGACTCTGATAGGCAGGGCAGCGAGGCAGAGGAGGAGAGGGCAGAGGACTGGGAGTGGGCAGGGGCCTCATGGGCGTGCAAGGCACAGCGCACAGCTGTGTGTGGCTCAAGTGCTGTGCGACTGGGGGAAACTGGCTGGGCTTGGCCACGCTTCCCAAGGCACACAGATGAGTCAGAATTTAGGGTTAAAATTCAATTTTGAGACAGCACCTCTGTGCTATCACCTCCCGCTTCTGCACACAGATATCTGTCACGCTGGTGAGTGTGTCAGTTACAGGACTCAGGACACCTGGACCTACTGGGACACACACCTGACAGCCAGCTTCACAGTCCCACTTCCTCGGAAGGGAACAACAGGTCAGCAGAAAGCATGCCTCGAAGCAGCAGCCCCTGACTGTTTGCTAAACGAGAGCTGCAGGGAGGCCGGCGGGGAGGAACCACATTGCGCCTGGCACACGCTGTCTCTGTTCCACTGCCGGGAGGATCCAGCGGACGCGGCCTGGAGCGCTGCCGCTGGGGCTTGCTTTGGTCACCTTCCCTTCAGGTGGGACATAGCCCCTTCGAGGATGAGCAGTGGGGAGCCACTCTCCCCCGACCCCAGACTCAGGACTCACCATGAGCCAGGCCGTGGATGCCGGCCACCAGGTGCTCCCCGCTGGTAGCTGCGTGGTACCTGATGTACTCCCGCTCCGATTGGTGGCGATTGTCCATTGTCTTCCCCAAGCCATCTGACAATGTCCCTGCAAACTGGAGTGGATTAAAAACAAAAAGAGAATTTTACAGCCTCAGAACTAGTTTTGCTGATTCAAACAAATCCTTCTCTTGGTCCTGACTAGGGTTTGGTAAGTGGCAGGTAGCAGAGACACCGAGTGCTGAACTGTGTACTCGTCTGCCCCGCAGCGTGGCTCTTAGGCAGTGGACAGACACAAGTTGCGGGTGGTTGACAATGGTACAACAAGGTTTGCAGAGTGACTGCTAAAATTCCCTAATGACATTTATTTTCCACGACAAAGGCTGAGCATTCTTAATCTAGAAATTTTAAACCCAAAACATTCCAGAATGAGACTTTTGAGTACTGCTAAGACACTGCAGGTAGAAAACTGCATACATGGCCTCAAGTGAGGAGCTGCAGCTGGAAAGGCAGGAGCACTGAAAGGGCTGCATGAAATTACTTCAGGTCTGTGTTCTGGGGACTATATGAGACACAAACCAATTTCCTATTTTGACTTGGCTTCTAGCAGTGGATAGCTCAGTGTACACACACAAGTACCCCTCCCACGCCAGAAAAACCCAAAATCCAAGACTTCCGGTCCCAAGCATTTCAGATGAAGGAAACTTAACCAGTACTCCTGCAAATTCACTGAAAAATTAAAGGCACACCAAAAGGGCCTCGGGGGAGGACAGGTGAGATCTGGAAGCTGTGATGGTGTGGACACGAGCCCTTTGCTCTAAGAATCAGATTCAAAGCAGGAAACATGTTAGATTATTGCTTTAGGGTTTAGTACCAAAATTTCTGGAGAGGTCACTAAGGTTACAGGTCAACAGCAGAGGTCCTGGGCTCAACCCCCAGCACTGGGAGGGAAAAAGAAATTGGAGCTATCACCTCCCTCACAAGATGCCTTCTTTCATTCATTTAGCAATTATCAGGCGCCTATCAAGTGCCAAGTCCCATTTGTCAAAAGGACAAGAGGAGGCAGATGGAAAGACTGATGGGTTAGGTCCCCACACTTGAACCCATGACTTCAAATGCAAACCCACCCTCCACCACAAATACAAATCAGAGTAGGATTTTATTTATCCTGGCATACTTTAACCAGAAAAGCTGTCTCATCCATCAAAGCTGGATAAAAAGGACATAAAACTCTGTTTTGTCACAAGGCAATTTGAAAAGGTTTAAAGTGACAGTTAATAAACCACAGGGTACTTATCCTCATCATTCAGGCATAAAAAGGGAAGGATATCAAATATATAATTAACCTTCTCAGGAAGGATCTACCAAAACAAGTGGTCTAAGTGCCAATGACCCAGGACTCACCTTTTAGAAAACTCACAGGAATGTGATTTAGATAGAAAGCTCAATGGAAAGACTCAGCCTGCCTGGAGAAGGCAGGGCACTGGGCAGCCCCCTGGAGTCCGGGTCACACTCCTCCTGGGTGTGTAACAGATCAGATCTGCCTTGGAAACCATCAGTCCTGAGGCTTCCTGACACGAGTGACAGGTGAGCTCTGCACAGGGAGCAGCAACCACAGGAAGCAGCAGCAATGCCATTAGAGCAGCCGCTCCCGGAGCGAGCTGCGGGACACTTGTCCCTCTCGCTCTGTACAAACGCTCGCTGACTGAGGCCAGAGATGACACACTGACCTTAGTGGAAATGCAATCCCTATCGTTGTGTTTGCTTTTTTGCCTTATCTCCCCATCACTCCATGTCTAATAAGGGAATTAAAGTTCATAAAAAATAATTTTATAATTTCTTTAGCACAAGGGGAGGCACAGCAGGACGTGGCAAAGCCTCCTATGTGGACCATTGAGTAAGGGCTTTAGTCAGAGACCCCATCTGAGAGGTTCCACGGTACAGAGAAGGCCCTGAGCTTGGGCACCTGACTGCAGTTTTCTCTGGACCAGTGTGGGGGCTACGTGACCCAGCGCCACCCCACACCCCACCCCACCTCTGGGCCTCCCTCTGTTCTGGAGCCTGGTGATGGTGCCTGGTCTGTCCTGGGGCTGGAGGGCTCGGTGCTGGTATCTACCACTGATGTTATTACTCAGCTACTTGTCCAAAGCCAAATGTCCTGCCTATTTGAAGAAAGCCTCTTATGGTTTTGAAATGTGGTCAGTACTACCGGAGATTAACAGTTTTAGAATTCCCTCTTTTTCCAGTAGAGAAAGACTAATTTTCAAAGTGAGTTTTTGGAGTGGTACTACCTATAAAGCTAGGCTGCTGGACTTTCTGATTTCCCCAGTCCTTTCTATCCCTGACAGTGTGTGATCCAGGACCACAGGAGGATGTGTGAGTTCTGACCCTGGGCCCAAGACAGCTGTAGGTATAAACACACGAGTGCCAGCACTCATATTCTCCACCGTATTCTTAAGGAGCTGACAGTTTCATTTAAATAACATCCGCATCTCTGAAGCAGCCAGCAACATGGACTCAGAACTTGAACCGCAAGCCCTATGGAACCCAGAGAGGGAAATGTGACCCTTGTTTTAGGGAGGGTCAGAAAGAGTCCCTGTTGTGTTCTGGAACTCTGGAAGGTGTCAGTGTTCTTCACTTGGGGTTGAGACAAAAATGTGTCTCCTGATAGCCAAGAGGCAGCGAGGTCATGATTATGTGAACTGTGCGGGTGACACGTGTCCCCCAGTCCAGGTGCTACCCACCCCTCTGAAGAGCCGGGGGCACTGGGCTGCTCACAAAGCTTCCCTACTCTTCCCAAGGTATCGCTTCCTTTCCTGAGAAGAAAGCTTAAGTTAAGGTCCCTTTCGCCCGCTTCAGGCAGCTGCTAGGAAGAAGGTAACATGTCACAAAACTTTTCTCCTCCCAAGAGAATATGGGAGAATAATCTAAGCCAAGTTTCCAACACTGCTTTCGCCTTCTAAGCCTCCTGCCAATTAAACAGGTTTGGTATCTGAGCCTTGGGAGTGAGCACCTGTCCACGCTGAACCACCAGCCCACCTTGCTGCAGCGGGCTCGCAGCAACATCTCCGTCCACTCCCTTTGTGTCTGGTGTTCTCTGGACACACGTCCATACTGAACACCAAGGGGAACAGGATAAGAACCTCTGAGATTACTTTTCCCTCTAAATGCTGTATTCATCCACGTGCTTCTCGGGAGCCTCACATTCTCTTTGAGATGGTATCTCACTACATAGCCCAGGCTGGCTTTGAACTTGAGATCCTCCTGCCTCAGCCTCCTGGGGAGCTGCATTACAGGTGCGTGCCACCACACCAAGCTACGTGCTCCACCTCTGCAACAGGTAGGAGTCTGCACATCTAACTCAACTACTGTAGGACTTCTGTGTGAATTCTCACATCTCTGTCTATAAAAATTACTCCAATAAGTCAAACATACCTTTGAGTAAAGGATGTGGGAATCAACAGGTAAATATTACCAAGATCTTTACTCTTAAAATGTAGTTTTGAGAACTGAAAATTTGGGTAGATGTTGGAATCTGTGATCCAATCAAACCCATGCTGGGAAGAGGTTAATCAGATCTTACAGGGAAGAGATATTATACCGAAATAAACCAAAAGCTATACAGATAATACTCATTTTGTGGTCACCAGATCAAGGATTTGGTCCACTGGATTCTTAGTACCAGATCCAGGCCTCCACAAAGCATGTGACCTTCTTCTACCATGGGGTGCTTACTTGGTCATCCTTAATCCCACCTCTCCCTTCCATCTCAGTGGGGAGGTACATCTGAGCCATCTTGTTCCATCCTGAGACAGCCTGAGCACCTGCTGGCCACAGAGGGACAGGACGCCAGGGTCCTGCATGGGGGGCTTTCTGGCTTTGGTCTGCACTGAGGCTGGGAAGCATTCTTCCCCACATCCTCAACTCTGAGAATGTGCAACAAGACAGAGCAGAGACACCCACAAGAGCTACAATGTCACTGCACTGATCTGATCGCTCCAGTACCTTCTTCATCCTACTTCTCAAACTGTCTTAGGGCAGGTGAAGCCTGCGGGCAGACTTCAGATCTTTCTGACAAAGGGGAAACGAATCCCAGAGTCCCTGGCATAGAAGCTGCAGGATCCGAGCAAGTGTGACCGGCCAAGAGTGCATGGAACCCCGACTTCGTGCCAGGGCAGAGGCCGGGAGTGAGAAGCCAGGAACGGTCTCTACTCCTGCCTTCAGGACCACCCTCTGGAGGAGTGGACGTGGCGCAGCAGAAAGATCGCGGGAGCCGAGCTTAAACCCTGACTGTGATGGCGGTGGCGAGAACATGGAGAAGTCACTTAACTTCTATCAGTGTCTATTTCCATGCTTTGAAACAGGGATAAGAATGTCACTTTCAAGGCCGCTGTGGGGACAGGGTAATGTGTGTGAGGCCCTGCACAAGGAGTCATTCGTACAGCAGCGCCAAGCAGTCCAAGGTAACCTGCTAACCAGGATATAGTACCAGCCTAAGGGGTTTGCTGGCAGCTGGTGTGGGACCCCCCCGACCCCCGAGGGGTAGAAGCCATCCAGAGGGCCAGAAAAATGTCAGAGCCGAGCGAGCCATGCGACAGGAACGCTGTGGCACCCGGGAGTAAGGTGCGGATAATTGGTCACCTCCAAACAGAAGGGCGTTCAAGGAGGGCCAGCGCATGTCACAGGGCAAAGAGGTCCAAAAATACTTCAGTGAATGTCATCCTAGCTAAGATGCAAGGTACCAGGGAACAGAACGTCCTGCAGGACACCTGCCACAGAGCCACACGGATGACCGTTTTCCTTTCCCTTGCTGAAGAAAGCTTCAACACTCGCCACGCTTGTAAATTCTGGCCCTCGTCCAAAGTCGTTAATTTCTACAGAGCAATGTTTTCGGCAAGGGAGTGAAAACCTCCGAAGTGCTTCAAGACGCCAGTTCTCCTGAACAGTGAACACACAGTGCATGTCGACACCCCACCTTCCAAAAATAATCCCAGTGCCCATACACAGGGGGACGCTTCAAATCGGCCCGGGTGTGGAGCCTCTTTCTGAATGGCTGATTTTATAAAACTGAAATTCAAGTAGATGCTGGAATGATGCTAAGAGAAAAATTCACACT